CCTGGACCTTCCATGGAGCCTGCGCCCATGCTCACCCTTACGCACACCCCAGCTCCCCCTCTGCACCCTGAGTCTCGGAAAACCTGCGTCACAGCTGGAACCAAGGATGGGGATTTTCCTCCTTACTTCCAGGGGCCTCTGAACCTCCCTGACCTGACTTCTTTGGAAGGAGAGAACAGCTCGCTGTTCTGGGGCAGGCACTGCAGGATAGCCTGGTCTGTCTGCCCCAACCTGCCCTGGGGACCCACGGTCAGGGAGAAAGTGCCCCATTTGGGCTTCTCCGGAGCGTGGAGGGGGCGCCTGCGTGAATAGAGTGAGGGGGGATGTGTGTGGCCCAGTGCAGCCCCGCCCTTCCCCTGCCCCCACCCCAAACCCCTTAATGAAATCAAGCTGGCCCCGCAGCCAGAGAGGGGGCGGGAGGGGGCGGGAGGAGGCGGGGCGGCCAGCCCAGAGCAGCGCCCGGGCACCGGCACCGTCTCTCTCTCGCTCCACCTGGCGGGAGCACCAGGCCTGTGTGCGGAGGGACTGGTGAGTCCTGGGGTCCCCTCCTCTGTCTGGGGGAGCCTGGGGTGTCTTGGAGTTTAGGGACTGAGGCCCAGCCGGAGCGCTTTGGGGGGCGTCTTTAAGTGTGTGGTGTGTGTGAGTTTTGAGGGTGTGCTGGATGCTGTGTACGTGGGTGATCTGTGCTAAGGGTGAAGGGGTCGGAATGTGTGTGCGCCGTCTATGCGCCCCGTGTGCATGGTGAGTCTGCCAGAGTGCGGTGTGTGTGCAGCCGTGGCCTGGCTATGGGGGATGTGCTGTTCTTCAAAGGGGACGTCTGGTTGTCCCCAGGGTCAGCAGCAGGGTGGTGTGGACTGGGACTGTCCCGTCTGGGGGGATCCATGGTGGGACAGGGGGTTGTGTATGTGCCATGTTGTCAGAGAATCAGCCCATTTTGTGTCCGTGTGTTCTCTGTGTGTCTGTACTGGTGGGCCGCGTGAGCGATCTGGGGGGCCTGAATGTTGTGCGTCCTTGTATGCATTGTGGAGCCACACTGTTGCTGCTTGCTGTACGTGTGTGTGTGTGTGTGTGTGTGTGTGGGTTTTGAGCCCTCGAGACCCATGTCCGTCCCCAGGCCTCCCCTCCAAGGGGCCCAGGCCCCTGCCTGTCCTTGGCTGCCCCGGAGCAGGGGGTGCAGTACTGCAGCCAGATCCCCCTCCCCCAAAGGCCATTAATTGAAGCCAGGTTTTTTTGTGGGTCGCTCCTCCGTCTCTGTCTACCAGTCTCTGGGTGGGGGTGCAGCAGCTGCTCTGGCCCCTCAGCCTTGGGTCTTGGGGTACCTAGACCTTAGTGGTAGATTTGCATCACCTGCATATTCCTGACCTCAGCTGGGGCCATCACAGGTAAAACAATAAACCCTGGGTGAGATGGGCTTTAAAGAGAGGCCCTGCTCCAAGCTGCCAATCACATGATGCCCACTAATTGGTACCTATGCGCCAGGCACTGCCATTTCTTGCCCTGACAATAGTCCAGGGAGGTGACCCTTATCTCCATTGTGGAAACTGAGGCCCAGAGAAATGACATGCCTGGCCCCAGGACACATAGCTGGGAAGTGACCTCCTGCAGGGCATTTTGAGTGGCCTCTTCCTTTAGGCTTCTGTTCAGGGCTCCAGGCTTACTGGCCATGTGACCCTAGGCAGGCCATTCCCAGTCTCAGCTGCGTTTCGCCTGGGTAAAACTAGAGGGGCTGACTGACTCCAGTTCCTAAGGGCCTGTGAGTTCCTGAGTCCTGGAAAAAGTTAGGACCCAGGAAGGAGGTGGGGCAGCTGATGGGCAGAACGACCATTTCAGAGCTGCCCAGTGCACCCATTCTACAGATGGGAAACTGAGGCCCAGAGACGGCCGGGGGCTTGTCACGCCAGGTCACACAGCCATCTCCCCTGAGGCCTGGCTGGCTCTCCACACTTTGCCTGCACTTTTGGGGAGCCAGGAGGGGTTGTGAGGATATGGAGGACTCTGAGAGTTGGGATCTTGGCCTTTAAGAGCCAGAGATAGTTTGTGTGGCCTTTCCTTATCCTCTGTCCCCTGCTCTCTAAGGCCCTGTCTAAGGCTTTCTGCTGTGTGTGTGTGTGTGTGTGTGTGTGTGTGTGTGTGTGTGTGCGCGCGCGCGCGCGCGCTCGTGATTCCTCACTGGCCAAAGCCGAGGAGATTTCGCCCAACAAGGTAAAAAAGTTGGTCTGTTCCTAGAGGTTGGGGGAGACAATGAGCAAATGTACACATCAGGTGAGGATAATCATTTGTTGACTTTGGGTATGAAAATGTCAGCTGATCCCGGAGCTCTGCAGGGGTAGAAATTCGACCACTCCTGAGTGCCACCTTTCCTCGGTAAGCAGCTACTCTGTGCCAGGCAGGAGCTGTGGTCACCCCCCCTCCACCCTGCATGTCCCCGGTTTACAGAGGGGGAGAGTGAGGCCCAAAAGGGCCAGATGGAGGAGCTAGATGGAGATGGAGCCAGGATTCGAATCCCGGCCTAACCCGCCTCACCACTCTGCCGCCATCAGAACTTCAACAAGGGAACATCACAGGAGGCCCCCAGGGAAAGCCCCCTGGTCTTCAGCCACCACTGGTCATTGTTTCCGTCTGTGGTGAGCAGCCTCAGCCACCACCATGAGCGGTCTCGCTTGGAACTTGGCTGGAAGCAGAAGGCAGGGTGGGGACTGGTGAGACCAAGAACCTGAGATCAGCGCTGTGTGTAGGAAACTGCCAACTCGTGCCAGAGAGGCAAGGGCCCGGGAAGGCTCCTGAATTTCATGTAGCATCTCCAATCCTTGTTCCAGCTGAGAAGTGATGTCAACAAGGGGGTGTTTGGCCATCCCTAGGGGGGAGGGGGAAGAGAGAAAGAGAGAGAGAGAGAGAGAGAGAGACAGAGAGAGAGAGAGAGAGAGAGAGGACACTACTCTTGAACTCACACAGAAGAAGAAGGTTCAAATCCCAGCTCTGACCTTTACTGTCTGTGTGTCCTTGAGCAAGTCATTGTCCATCTCTGAACCTCAGTTTCCTTCTCTGAAAAATGGAGACGGTGATGGTGTCGGCGCACAGGGCTTCTGTGGGATCCACAGAAGGGCTCAGACGAGTGAGCCATGATGGAAGCAAGAATGATCAGCTCATTTAAAATGAACCCCTGAATAGTGTTGCCTCTTTTTATGTCCTGGAATTATTATTATTATTTTGCCATCTGAACCAGTTTATCCAAGTTCACATGAGTACAATTCATTTCCGTTAATGACAATGGGGGGGCCCTAGGTCCCTTAGAACAAGCCACTCAATGGCTCAGCGTCACTCCTACCTCATCCCCTGAACCCCAAGTTACCGTGAGGTAGGTATGGTCATTTGTTTGCTGGAGCAGGGCTTGAAGCCTGGCTCAAGGGGACCTGCAGTCAAGGTGTTGGGAACCTAACTTCCCCCTTCAGCCCAGGAACTTGCGGTGTGGCTTTGCCCTTGCCTTCTCTGTGCCTCTGTCTCCCCGTCTCAAGTCCCCTGAGAGAGGGCCTCGGACAGGTGATCTTAAGGTGTTTCCATCTTGGAACATCTAACCCCACCCCACCCAGTGTGAGGATCCTGGGCCCTCCCCTGGGTCAGGGTGGGATTCGCAGGGGGTGATCTGGGAGTCACAGAAAGGGGTCCCTGGGTTTATCTGAGTACCCAGCCCCACTCAGGCTGGCTAGGAGAGTTAGTGTTTTAGAAGCTGGGCTCCTCTGTAAACCTGGGCCATGAGGAATCTATTAGTTACCTGGGCTGTCTGGGCCTGATAGGGTCTGGGGGTTCATGTGGGGAGCAGCTTTCCAACGGGGGAGGGAGGGGCAGTGTTCATCTGGTTCCCATTTAGTGGTGGCCATGGCGCTCAGGCTCCAGCAGGCCCCAACTTGGCCTCAGGTGTAAGAGGTTTCCCTCTGCGGCCTCTACGGCCTTCTTTGAGCCTGTAGGTGAAGGTTGCCATGGGGCAGATGCTCCCAGCATGCTCCTGGCATGCAGACCCTCTTCTGAGCTCAGTCTGCAGGCTTCAAAACCTATGGCTCTCCTGGAGAAGGGAATGGGACCATAGAGGGCCTGGGAGCTGCTGGGGAGGGCTCCCCATAAGAGGCGAGAGGTCAGCTTACAGTTACTCAGTTTCTCACCTACTCAGCCCTACCATCTTCTCTCTCTTGGCGCGTGGATCCAAAACCCAGCCCTTCCTTGGAAAGTCCCTGAACCCCTCTGAGTCTCGGTTTCCACACCTGGAAAATGGGGCCAATAACAGTGCCTCCTTCATCGGGTGGGTCCCAAGAGTCAATGAGAAATTCCCTGTAAGAAACTTAAAATAGTACCTGGCACATGGCAAGCAGTAGAAAGGTAAGTTATTAATTAATTGAGTCAAGTCAGTCAGGATTCATTGATGGAGTGTTTACTGTATATCAGATACGGTGCGGTGCAAACCCCTGAGGATGCCAAGATAAGTAAGATTCAGCCCCTGCCTCCCAGGACCTCAGGGTGAAGTGCGGTGACTCTCTGTGGGTCCCTCTAGGACATCAGAGTGAAGTGGGTGAACTCCACATTTAAAGGAATGGGGCTCCATCCATTATATGGTGGGGAGGCTCAGGCCTGGGGGGCCGGGGGACGGAAGCAACTTTCTAGAATATCATCTGTGTTCCCTGAATCTCGTCGGGATCCCCTGAGCCCCTGGAGGCCCACCCCGACCTCTCTTCTGCCTTGCTTCCCCACAGGTCCCGGACAACATGGTTTCTGCAGTGGCCCCCAGCCTCATCGCGTCTCTGCTCCTGCTCCTGAGGGCGCTGGCCCTGGCGGCCCACTCCGTGCCCCAGCCGGTCGGCTTCCTGGAGGACATGGGGGGCAGCGGGGAGGCCGAGGACTCGTCGGCCTCCTCCCCTAGCCTCCCGCCCTCCCAGACCCCAGGCCTCAGCCCCACGTCGGTGGGGCCCCAGCCCACGCTCCTGGCGGGCCCCAAGCCCCCCACCAACTTCCTGGACGGCATCGTGGACTTCTTCCGCCAGTACGTGATGCTCATCTCCGTGGTGGGCTCCCTGACCTTCCTGCTCATGTTCATCGTGTGTGCCGCCGTCATCACCCGCCAGAAGCACAAGGCCTCGGCCTACTACCCGTCGTCTTTCCCAAAGAAGAAGTACGTGGACCAGAGTGACCGGGCCGGGGGTCCCCAGGCCTTCAGTGAGGTCCCAGACAGGGCTCCCGATGGCCGGCCCGAGGAGGCACTGGATTCCTCTCAGCAGCTCCAGGCTGACATCCTTGCCGCCACGCAGAACCTCAAGTCTCCCGCCAGGGCGGCCCAGGGCGCTGGAAATGGAGCCAGGCTGACGGAGGGCAAGTCGGAGGAAGAGGAGACGTGCAGCCAGGAGGCGGACCAGGAAGCCCAGGGGTGTGCGGGCCCAGCGGAGAAGCCGGAAGGGCCGGAGGAGCCATGCTCAGCAGTGGCAGAGGGGGCTGTGGTGGCCGACGAAGGCTCGGGGGAGCTGGAAGCGGCTCCCTCATTAGCCCAGGAAGCTGAGGGTCCAGCCGGCCCCCCTGAAAGCCCCTGTGCTTGCGGCAGTGTCACCCCCAGCGTCTAACAGGCCTCCAGGGCTGTGGCCCTGACTGTTGGACCCTTAGTGGTCCCTTCCTCGGGCGTAGAAAGACCCTTGGCCCTTAATGCTCCCTGATGTCCCCCCCTCGACCACTCCCAGCTGCAAATCCCAGCGTGTCCTGATCCTACAGTGGGCAGAGATACTGGACTCCGGTCTACCCGGGGAATCTCACCAAGTTCTAGAACCTTTGCCGCTGCCTTCCCAAAAGGGCTCCATTCCAAAGCACCGCCTCTCTGGGGAGGTGGGGCTGGGGACGTGTCCTCTTACAGCCACGTCAATTGGGAAACATACTTTGCAGGTCCCTTGTGACAGTGCCAATGTCGCTGCTTTCCATTGAGGTAGAAAAGAGAAACAAAATAACTGGGAATTTTGGAAGAGGTTGAATGGCAGGGAGCAGAAGTGCCTGGGGTGGGTGCGGCTAGAGCTACGGCTGGCTGACGGATTAATCAGGAAGCTTCTGTGAGGGGCCCTCGCGGCTGGCGAAGACAGGGCCTTCAATGAGCATTTCCCAAACTGGGTTCCCTGAGGTACCCTGTGGGGGAAAAAACGAGTTTGGAGTCCAATGAGTTGAAGAAACACTGCCTCTCTATTCCTCGTACTCCCCTTAGAGCACCCCAGGGCTCAGACAAGTCCCCCAGTAAAGGCCCCTGTTTCACTCAGCCTTTCCCAAACTGCTTTTGACCGTGAAGTACCTTTTTGTTTTGCAGCTACAGAGTAAAATGGTGCAGAGTGCACTCTGGAAATTACTGCTCTAAATGTTCCTAAGGCGCACCCCCCCCCGGAGTGTATGGTTGTTCTGGGGTGTGGGGTGTAGGGTGTGGGAGTTTGGGCCCCCTCAAGTGCTGCCTCTCATCCTGGTATGTGCCGTGGGGATGGAGCTAATGAATTGACCCTTTTTTGAAGCTTGGGGTGTAGGGGGGTGCTGTGTGTGAGGGGATGGGGGGTGGTTTCTGACGCCCGGCCTGGGCAGGGGTGGCCCTGGCCCCCAGCCCTTAGATCATACACGTTGTCTGGCAGCCTGTGTCCATAGCGTTCCTTAGTCCTTGACCAGGGAGCCTGAGCTCCGTCTTAATCCGGGGAGGTTGTGGGGGGTCCTCTTCCCCATACTTCCATCTGGGCCCCTCGACCTCTGCACAACTCTCCAGGTGCTGAGACATAACAAACCAGCACAATAAACCTTTATTCTGGCCTGAGTCTTACTGGTTTTCTGAGGGTGGGAATGAGTCCATGGGAGATGGGGGTGGGGTGCATTTCCCCTGGGCTGTTCTGTGGGGGCGGGGCAACTTCCTGGGGGAGACACATCAGCCAGGCCCTGGGGATGAATGATGTGAGAAAGAGAGAGAAGAAAGGGTGTCCCAGAGGATTGGGAGTGAAAACTCGTGTTCCCAAGGCTGAGCACCAGCCCTGGACTTGTGGCCACACAGCCAGTTTCCATGCATGGCTCCATGATTTACTGTGGCCACAGAGGGAAACTCCTCTCTGTTTCCCTGAGGAGAGACATGGCCAGTGGAGGGGCCCCCAGCCGAGGCTTCAGTTTCCCCCGCCCCTGCAGAGTGGCTGAGGAAGGGATGGGTCTCATGGGCGATGCCACACTCGCTGCAACCTTGCTGGCGCCTGGGGTTGGAAGCAGCCCTGGCCTTTGTCTCCTCACCACCAGGCTCCTCCTTGCTTTTGATGGCAAGTTCCTGTGGCCACTGCTCCCCCTCCGCTCTGGAGCTGCCAGCTGGAATCCAGATGTGGCTGGGCTAGGAGCACGTGCTGGATCCCCGGGGTGATGGGGGCAGGGAGGCCATCCCTCCGCTGCCCCTCTCCTCCACCGACCCCACATCCCCCCACATCTATCCGGAGGGGGCCCAGGTTTGGGTTTCATAACACACAATGGCCTCTGTCTCGCTCAGTGGGGAAGGGCCCTCCCTTTCTCAGCAGACCAGCTCCTGCCCAAGAACATGGGGAGAAGCGCATACAAATACTGAATACCCGGACGCTGTGTGGCTCTGACCTAGCCACTCAACCTCTCTGGGCATGGCAGGCTCTTTCCTTGTTCCTCGGCTCCTGTGGGGTCCTAGGCACTGGGGTGTGGCTGGGAAATGCATTACGTTTCCCCATGACAGGCAAAAAACAGGTAAGACAGAAGCAGATCGTTGGAGATCCCTGGGAGCAGGCAGGGGCGGGCATCCCACTCAGCAGCTCCCTGGTCAGTGGTTCCCATTAATACTCAACTTGGCCTTCCAGAGGACATGGAGTGTGGGCCTAAGCCTTAGCCTGTGTCCACTGGGACTGGTGTGTGTGCAGCAATTAGGAGGTAGCCTGAGCCCCAGTATAGGAGTCAACCAATATCTTCCTCACCTCTGAGCTTTTACAGCTACTATTCCCCCTGCCTTCCACACCTCTCCTTGCCTTGCTGAAGCCCTCTCATCCTTTAGCTTCTGGCCTAGATGTCCCTCCCTCCTGGGAACCTTCCCTGACAGCCCCAACCCAGCCTCTTCCACAGTCACCTGGGCTCAGTGACAATGATTCCTCACAATTAATGAGCACCTGTTATGTGCCTCTAAGCACTGGACATTATTAACTCATTAAGACTTGCGACCCTACGAGGTGGGTACTGTTATTAGTCCTATGCTACAGATGAGAAAACTGAGGCCCAGAGAGGTGAAGTCAGTTGCCCAGGTCACACAGCCAGGATCCAGCCCCAGAGGCTAAGTTCTCCACGAGGCTCTATTGCTTTCTTGATGAATGAATGCGTGAATAAACGAAAGAAGTCCCTGGGGGAGGGGACAGCAGGGCCCTACACCTGTTTAGAACCCCTTCAATCTGCTCCCCCATCCGTGATGGAGTTACCAGGAGGGGGACCTTTTATGGGCACACGTCTGGCCAGGTTACAGTGGGGGGTGAGCCAGAGGGAGATAGTGGTTGGGGACATGTGTGGCTGGACTAGGGGTTGCGGGGGACAGTGGGGCTTGGGAATTGGGGTGAGGGGTTCCTCTGTTCCCAGGAATCCGGGAATCTGCCAGGGCCTGAACAGAGGCCCCCACTGTCCCAGGGCTTGTAAAACTGCACAGCTGCCCTCAGCCCGGTGTCTGTCCTGGGGCCAGGCCTGCTGTTACTGTAAAGGGGGAGGGAGAGAGAACAAAACCACCCCAAGACATGACAGGAACCTCAGCTCAGTGTGGGAATGGGGGTGGGGGTGCCCTGCCCTGCTCCGATCAGCCCGACAGGCTGGGCATTTGCTGGCTGGGAGCCATGTTCAGGGAGACAGCAGGAGGCGCAGAACTCATGGTCTCCTGGGCCCCTCTGCCCTGGGCACATCATCTTTAACCCTCTGGGGTGGGGAAGGTGGTTTGGGCCTTGGGGTGAGACTGCCTGAGTCAATGCCAGCTCCACCCTTTCCTGGCTGTGTGGCCTTGGGCAAGTCACCTCACCTCTCCGGGCCGCCATTTATGTGTGTAAAGAGGGGGTGATCCTACCCCCACCTGGCAGGGGTGTCCACCTGCACAATGAACTTTTAAAAATCCTGACTCCGGAGCCCCAACCCAGACCAATTAAATCAGAGTGTTCAAGAGTGTCACTGCCAGGCTGGCCGAGTGGTGCAATGGTTAAGAACTGGCTTGGGATGCCAGAGGGCCCTGGTTCGGATCCCACATATGAGGGCCAGTGACACTGCCCTCTACAACTAGACTGAAGAACAAAAAAATGATAGCAACTTGTCTGTTCCCCTTCCCCAATTCCCCAATTAAAAAAAAAAAAAAAAGGGTGTCACTGCCAAGATGCAAAGTCCACAAGGAGAGGGACCTATGTCCACCAATGTCTGCCCAGCACTCAGCCCAGTGCCTGGCACGTGGTGGGTGCTGCAGGTGTGTGAGAGCGTGTGTGTAAGGCTGAAGGAAGGCATATACATGTGCCAGCGCATAAATAATCACATTTAACCCTCTCCACACGCTGCATAAAGAGATGAGCGATATCATTACCTCCTTTTTACAGATGAGGAAACTGAGGCTCAGCGGGGTGCAGCGACTGCCCCTGCACAGCTGGGATTTAAACCCAGGTCTGTCTGGCTCCTCAGCCTGGGCTCTTCAGCGCTGAGCCTCCAGTCTCATTTGTGAACTTGTCTGTGGTCTCAAGGCCGAGCCTCTCTGCTAATAGTGGGGTGGGCGCACATACGTTTTGGGTCTACTGCATTTCATCATGGGTCCTGTTTCAACCTTGCCTGGCCCCCTGGGGTGTTGACAGCGACTGCCCAGCACTGGCCTGTGGGTTTGGCCTGTCTTGGTTCTTATTCACAGAGGCTTAGAATCCTTGAGTCTGCCCTGGTTGGGATTAATTAAACCCCTGGGTTCAGAGGTGGCCCAGAAGCAAGTTGCAAGGTCATAAACCCTTTGTTTTCCAATCACAGCTATTTATTGAGCACCTACTATGTGCCAGGTATTGGAGACACACCATTGGCAAAACAGATCTGAGGCTGTGTTCTAATGGAGAAGATGAACATTCAACAAAGAATCATCCGGATGCAACCACAATGATTAGTTACAGGAAGAACCAACATTTATAAATGGACTCTTATGCATGCCTGGCTCTTTACTTTTTGTAGCTTTACTGAGGTATAATGGAAACATAATAAATGCACATATTTAAAGCGTACAACTTAATAATTTTGGCATATGTGTATACTCATAAAGCCATTGCCACAATCAAGATGACGGATGTATCCATCGCCTCTGAAACATGCTTCGTACCCCTTATAAACTCTTCTTACTGCTCCCCTCCACCCCCTGCCCCCAGCCCCGAGNGAGGGCCAGTGACACTGCCCTCTACAGCTAAGATGCTGAACAACAGCTCAACCTGGAGCTGGGCTGCCGTGAGTCGCTGGCGATGGCGTAGGCTGCAGCCCCTGCTGCAGTGGGTTGCCATGGGCTACTGTGTGTAGCCAGCAGCCAGCGTGAGCGGCCTTCCAGAAGCCGGCGACTGATGTGCCTTGCCCAGGAAGAGCGCAATGATGGTGCCAACTTGGGCCAGTGAAACAACATCCTCCACAACTAGACTGAAGAACAAAAAAATGATAGCAACTTGTCTGTTCCCCTTCCCCAATTCCCCAATTAAAAAAAAAAAAAAAAGGGTGTCACTGCCAAGATGCAAAGTCCACAAGGAGAGGGACCTATGTCCACCAATGTCTGCCCAGCACTCAGCCCAGTGCCTGGCACGTGGTGGGTGCTGCAGGTGTGTGAGAGCGTGTGTGTAAGGCTGAAGGAAGGCATATACATGTGCCAGCGCATAAATAATCACATTTAACCCTCTCCACACGCTGCATAAAGAGATGAGCGATATCATTACCTCCTTTTTACAGATGAGGAAACTGAGGCTCAGCGGGGTGCAGCGACTGCCCCTGCACAGCTGGGATTTAAACCCAGGTCTGTCTGGCTCCTCAGCCTGGGCTCTTCAGCGCTGAGCCTCCAGTCTCATTTGTGAACTTGTCTGTGGTCTCAAGGCCGAGCCTCTCTGCTAATAGTGGGGTGGGCGCACGTACGTTTTGGGTCTACTGCATTTCATCATGGGTCCTGTTTCAACCTTGCCTGGCCCCCTGGGGTGTTGACAGCGACTGCCCAGCACTGGCCTGTGGGTTTGGCCTGTCTTGGTTCTTATTCACAGAGGCTTAGAATCCTTGAGTCTGCCCTGGTTGGGATTAATTAAACCCCTGGGTTCAGAGGTGGCCCAGAAGCAAGTTGCAAGGTCATAAACCCTTTGTTTTCCAAGCACAGCTATTTATTGAGCACCTACTATGTGCCAGGTATTGGAGACACACCATTGGCAAAACAGATCTGAGGCTGTGTTCTAATGGAGAAGATGAACATTCAACAAAGAATCATCCGGATGCAACCACAATGATTAGTTACAGGAAGAACCAACATTTATAAATGGACTCTTATGCATGCCTGGCTCTTTACTTTTTGTAGCTTTACTGAGGTATAATGGAAACATAATAAATGCACATATTTAAAGCGTACAACTTAATAATTTTGGCATATGTGTATACTCATAAAGCCATTGCCACAATCAAGATGACGGATGTATCCATCGCCTCTGAAACATGCTTCGTACCCCTTATAAACTCTTCTTACTGCTCCTCTCCACCCCCCGCCCCCAGCCCCGAGGCCACTGTTGATCTGCTTTCTGTCACTGTGACTCATTTTTATTCT